CCTAGAAATCATTAACCTTGCTGCAGTCAACAAATTTGTTATCAAGTCTTTAGTCTCTTTTTTACACTTTATATCTTCCAATAGTGATAGTTTCATTGGGAAATTTGGAGTAAATATAAAGGGAGGCTGCTTCTGAAGAACTCTCCATTATCACCGGTAGTAATCTTGGAAAAGTTCCCAGGGAATTTGAAGAATAAAGTGAATAAAAAGAGAAAAATAAAATGAAACTAAGGGAATGGTTAGGAGGAATGAGGACACGTGGGGAATTGGAAGAGGTTCTAGGAGGAAAACGGTTGTCTTGGTTAAATTACAGCCAAGTGGAACAATGGACTAAAAATTGGATGGCGCTCAGAGCCCTCTCTGCCCCGGTTTCAGCAGTCAGTGCCGAAAAGGTTAACCATCACTGTCCTATATAATTCCAGACAAGCGGCTGTCCAGTCTCTTCTTAAAATCTCCAGTTGATGGAGCATCCACAACTTCTGAAGGCAAGCTGTTCCACTGGTTAACTGTTCTCACTGTTAGGAAGTTTATCCATAGTTCTTAGTTGCTTCTCTCCTTGACTAGTTTTCACCCATTGCTTCTTGTCCTGCCCTCAGGTGCTTTGGAGAATAGCTTGACTCCCTCTTCTTTGTGGCAGCCGCTCAAATATTGGAATGCTACTGTCCAAATTGCCCATTCCTTTTAATGTGTTCTTTTTTGTTAAAGTATTAGATGACCTTATATTGTGATCAGAGGTGGGTTTCAGCAGGTTCCCACCAGTTCTGGAGAACCGGTGGGTGGAAATTTTGAGTAGTTCAGAGAACCGGTAGTAAAAATTCTGACTGGCCCCACCCCCATCTATTCTCTGCCTCCCAAGTCCCAGCTGATCGGGAGGAAATGGGGATTTTGCAGTAACCTTCCCCTGGATTGGGGAGGGAAGAGAGATTTTATAGTATCCTTCCCTTGGAGTGGGGTGGGAATGGAGATTTTACAGTATCCTTCCACTGCCACGTCCATCAAGCCACGCCCACCAAACCATGCCCCGCCCACCAAGCCACACCCACAGAACCGGTAGTAAAAAAAATTTGAAACCCACACTGATTGTGATCCTTGACTCAAAAAAACTGTATCTCTGTTAAATGATTATTACACAGGCAAATTATTATTTTTAAACTGTAGGCAGCTTTATTAGTTGTAGTATGGTAGTGAATTTTATTAGGAAACAAAAGTGTGCGAGAATGACATAACTAGTAATTTAATTTTATTTTTCTAATCCCACACTATGACAATATGAAACAGGAAAAAACTGAAAGTGTATTTATTGTTCAATCATATGGAAGGTATTAGAATTGTTCTTTTGTTTCATCATGTTTAAGGAGTTAGGAATAATCTGAAGCTGTATTAGACCCATCTGGCTGTTCAGGAAAATCCCACTTAATTGCTCTTTTGCCAAAAAGGTTATATCACTTCCTGGGAATGCAATTAATATAAAACATATGGAAAGCACTGGAAAAGGTCCACAGTGAATTCAAAGATATTTTTTTTTAAGATGTAGCCATTTTTCATAAGTAACAGTAAGGCATGCTATCCTACAGGGTTGAGAATTAACAAAGTATGTCAGTGTTCCACCTTAAGTATGGAGCAGTGGTGGGTTTAAAAAAATTTTACTACTGGTTCCGTGGGTGTGGCTTGGTGGGGGTGGCATGGCTTGGTGGGCATGGCAGGGGAAGGATACTATAAAAGCTCCATTCCCACCCCACTCCAGGGGAAGGTTACTGCAAAATCCCCATTTCCTCCCCATCAGCTGGGACTTGGGAGGCAGAGAATAGATGGGGGTGGGGCCAGTCAGAATTTTTACTATCGGTTCTCCAAACTACTCAAAATTTCCCCTACCGGTTCTCCCGAACTGGTCAGAACCTGCTGAAACCCACCTCTAGTATGGAGCTTGTCAGCATTTTTTTTACAACCTCTTCAGCCGAAGAGGTTGTAGAAAAAATGGTTTTAAAAGGGGAAAAAAAAGTTGGCCATGCCCACTCAGTCATATTACTCCACCACCACCAAGCCACACCCACAGAACCGGTAGTAACAAATTTTACATTTCACCACTGGATTCAAGTATTTTATCTGTCCAAATGCTCCTTGGAGAAGCAGACCTTGGCGATAGTATTTCTGACTCCAGAAAGCATCTTTCTTCAATAATTTCTGCCGAAATTTCAGAAGTTGGCTGGAACTACTGGCAAATATATAGACAGTTGATCAAGATGATGTGGTCAGAGTCCTGTTCGGCTGTTTGGTTTTTAATGCAAGTAATAGTTTCCAGGTGATATTTCCACATGAGCTATGAAACAGGAGAGGAATATGCTACTGAAATGCAATGTGACAGTCTGGGGGTTCTAACACTGCTGAAAATAATAGAATACGGCGCACATATTTTTGTATATTTGATAAGTAATATTGGTTGCTTCGGGGGTGAAATGCTCCCGGTTCAGACTGGATCGCCCGATCTGGTAGCGATGGAGGCGGGTGGTTCGGAGAACCGGTAGCAAAAATCCCTACACACACACACACACACACACACACCATGCCCAGCTGAGCTGCACAATCATCAGAGGCTTTTTTTTTTTACTTTTAAAAGCATTTTTTCTACAACCTCTTCAGCCAAAAAATGCTTTTAAAAGTAAAAAAAAAAAGCCTCTGATGATCGCGCGGTTCAGCTGGGATCGTCAAAGGCTTTTAAAAGAAAAAAAACCCCTTTTTTTCTTTTAAATGCCTCTGACGATCCAAGCTGAGTTGCCTGATCGGCAGAGACTTTTTTTCTTTTAAATGCCTCTGACGATCCAAGCTGAGTTGCCTGATCGGCAGAGACTTTTTTTCTTTTAAATGCCTCTAACGATCAGGCAACTCAGCTGAGTCGCCTGATCGTCAGAAGCATTTAAAAGTTAAAAAAAAATTGGCCACGCCCACTCAGTCACATTACCCCACACACACACCAAGCCACACCCACAGAACCGGTAGTAACAAATTTTAGATTTCACCACTGATCTGAAGAGCAGTGTTTTCCAATTTCTGTTGCATAGTGATGCTGTGTGGCCCAGCTGCTACACTTCATTTTCTTCTTGGCACTCTATTTTTTAAGCAAGTGGATTCTGAAATTCCTCTTCCACTTCAAGTAATAGGAATATTGCAAAACCGTGGTTGTTTTCTTTTCTATCCAGAGAGATGAATAGACAGGTGTCGATTATAATGGGAGCTTGTACAAGAGCTATATTGATGGAAACCACATGGTCTTAAAGACCCGTGCATGGAAGGAGAGTAAGTGGTCCTTGCTTTCCAAGAATTGGGGAGAGGGTTAAAGACATGGCAGTTCACCAATGCAATCCTAAATTGCATTAACAGAGGGATACAATCAAGATCAAGTGAGGTAATAATACCACTCTATAAAGCCTTAGTAAGACCACGCCTAGAATATTGCATCCAGTTTTGGTCACCACACTATAAAAAAGATGTTGAGACTCTAGAAATAGTGCAGAGAAGAGCAATCAGGATGATTAGGGGACTAGAGGCTAAAACATATGATGAATGGTTGCAGGACCTGGGCATGGCTAGTTTAGTGAAGAGAAGGTCCAGAGGAGGCATGATAGCAGTGTTCCAATATTTGAGGACTGCTACAGAAAGGAGGGGGTCAAGATATTGTCCAAAGCACCTGAAGGTCAGACAAGAAATAATAGATGGAAACTGAACAAGGAGAGATTCAACCTGGAAATAAGGAGGAATTTTCTGGCAGTGGGAGCAATGGAACAGAAGTTGCCTTCAGAAGTTGTGGAAGCTTCATCACTGGAAGCTTTCAAGAAGAGACTGGACAGCCATTTGTCAGAAATGGTGTAGGGTCTCCTGCTTGGGTGGAGGGTTGGACTAGATGTCCTACAAGATCTCTTCCAACTCTGTTAACCTGTTAACCAGTCAAGATATGTTAATTGATAGTGTGCATTTGCCAAATCTGAAAAACATATTAAAATGCAATTCCAGTTTTTTATACTGGCTTTTTTAGCCCTTTTCAGTAGAGGAGAAAGAGCTTAGAGCTGTTATGCAAAAGAGCCCTAAGCTTCTTCTTTTGACTTTCCATTCTCCCATTATGTTGACTACAGTCCTCCTAATTCCCTGTAGAATTGACTTATGGGAGATATGTAATACAGCTGGAAGGTCCGTAGAATAGGGATACCAGTCAAAGCTATTGAGAGGTAAATAGCAGCAAATGTCAAGTAAGTAGAGAACAAATGTCAAAATATCAGAAGATGCAGAGGAAGCAAATTTTCAACTTTAAAAACAACATGGCAATTAAACATAATTTAGAATCAGAATCTAAGGATGAATCTAAAGATAGTTCCAGGGGTGGGCTACTGGGGGTTCGCAGGGGTTCGGGAGAACCTCTAGCTAAGATTCTGTGCAGTTCAGAGAACCACCAAATCCCATTCCAGGCTGGCCCCGCCCCGCCCCTCCCAGGAGTCCCCAAGTGGCCCATTTTGGATGCAGATAAGTGCAGGGTACATGCGTTTCCGGCCTCCAGAGGGCCTCTGGAGCCTGGGGAGGCCGTTTTTGCCCTCCTGGAGGCTCAAAGAAAGCCTCTTCAGCCCAGGGAGGGCAAAAACGCCCCCCCCTGGTGATGCAAGAGGTTGACTAGGCCACGCCCACCATGGCCATGCCCACCCAGCAACCGGGCAGAGAACCCCCTGCTAAAATTTTTGAAGTCCACCCCTGGATAGTTCCTAAAATGTGTGCTTTACCAGTGCCTATAAATGTTTTAACCTTTTCATTCTTAAATTTGATGTTATGCTCTTAGTTCAAGATGGATTACTTATCTGCTGGGTTCTAGGAAATTATGTGCACTTAACTGCAAAAAGATCTCATTGTTATCTCATTGTCATGTAGAATCTTAGAAACAATAGGAAACGTTTATTAAAAAAGTGTTAAAAAAGGAGGTACAAAATTATGAAAATATAACAATGTTATTTTATTTTTTCCAGGCTGTGCCAATTATTACAGAAAAGGTGAAAGCTGGTGAGTGGATAAAGGCATACTTCTTTTGCTCTTCTTCAACTGATTTTGTGCAATATTACTTTAAATATCCCTAAAGAAACGAGCAGGCTTGAACTTCAATTTCAGCAGAAGGTGCAAATTATGAAATTAACAAATATTAAGTGCTTGCTGCTAATAATCTGTGTTTTCACTCCGCTGCGGAAAACAGCTTTACCACCACATTGGTGGTAAAGCTTTTCACAAAAGTTGAAAGATCAGTCCTGTTAAAAAAGCTAAATTTGGCCTGAAGCGATATGGCCAATGATCAGTCAGAAAGATGAAATCTGATATAATAGGCTGGGATCTTGATTTCTTAACCCTCAGTAACAAAGAAACTGTCTTAAATTGTCTCAGTAATCCAGAATTGTCTTCTGGATCATTTTATTGTTGGTACTTTTGTCTAGAAAGTATGTAATAGCAATTTGGAACCCATATGCAGATCGCTAAATGGCTTTTGATGGATCATCAGGCATTCTACACATAGTTGGAAATTACACTTTAAAGCTTCTTCACTATTGCAAAATTCTCTCTTTCACTAAGAACTTAGTATAACTTTATTATGATGGGTGGCTTTCTACTTCAATAAAGGGTTGATTGTGCTCAATAAAGAGTTGAAGAAGGAGTAGAACTACATTTTTTTTGTTCTAGACCCTTAAATGCAGAGGTGTTATTCAGCTGGTTCGTGCGAACCTGTAGCTCTGACAATCAGTTGGCCCTGCCCACCAGTGTGCCTACCGTCCCTGTCCTACTGTCCCCATTTCGTATCTATTTCTTGTATTCATTATCATGTTTATGCTTATATCTGTTATCTTATACATGCTTGACAAATAAATAAATAAATAAAATTTAAAAATAAATTAGGACCACCAGATTTGGGCTACAAAATCCAGGAAATCCAGACACTTGCAATTTAAATTTCATGTGTGTGTGTGTGTGTGAAAGAGAGAGAGAAAGAAAGAAAGTGGGAGAGAAAGAGATGGAGAGAAAGAAAGAGACAGGGAAAGAGAGAGAAGGAAATGGGGAAAAGAGGGAGAGAGAGAGGAGAGAGCGAGAGAAAGAGAAAGGGAAAGAGAAGGGGAAGAGGGGAAGAGCCTTGGTAGTACAGTGGTCTAAGGCACCCTGTTATTAAGCTGGTTATTAAGACCAGCTGCCTGCAATTACTGCAGGTTCGAATCTCGCCAAGGCTCAAGGTTGACTCAGCCTTCCATCCTTTCTAAGGTAGGTAAATTGAGGACCCAGTTTGTGGGGGCAATAAGCTGACTTTGTATAAAAATATACAAAAGTATAAAGGCTATTGCTTAACGCACTGTAAGCCGCCCTGAGTCTCCGGAGAAGGGCGGCATATAAATCCAATTTAAAAAAAAAATTTTTTTTAAAAAAGTGTGATTGGACACACAAGGAATTTGTCTTTGGTGCATATTATTACGGATAATATAGATCCTTTGCAGAATCAACAGCTAGCATACAGACATCGTGACTATATTTACATAACGTCAGGGCCTGGATTAGAAGGTCTAGTCATTAAGGCTAAAAACCAGGGGTTTGGGAGTTCTAGTCCTCCCTTACGCATGAAAGCTGGCTGGGTAACTTTGGGCCAGTAATTCTCTCTCAGCCCAACTCATTTTGCAGAGGAGATGTTGTAGGGGAAATAGGAGGAGAAAACAATATTAGATATGTTTTTCCCCCTTGAGTTTTTTTATAAAAATAATAAAGGCAGGATTTAAAAACAAAATTTAACACTTTGACTTAGCGAAGCATAATTCTGCTTTTCTTTGGTATGTTAATTCTTGTAGATGGCTGGTGTCTAGAAAAATCTTAGATGGAATGCAACTTTAAGTAATGTGGTAACACTTAAAAGGATTTTCTGTTCCTTGGTATACGCATGAGACTCAAAGCATACATACCTTTTCCTTTTTTAAAAAACTGTGATTCTATCCTCCTCACTTTGTTAAAGTAGAGATGATCAGGGAATACATGAAGGTGGAGTAAGTACTTGTCTTACAATCACACAAGAGTCTCTTCATTAGAAACTTTTAAATATAGGGACAAACCAGTGGTGGGATTCAAATTTTTTTTATTACCGGTTCTGTGGGCGTGGCTTGAATGTGGCATGGCTTGGTGGGCGTGGCAGGAGAAGGATACTGTAAAATCTCCATTCCCACCCCACTCCAGGAGAAGGTTATTGCAAAATTCCCATTTCTTCCCAATCAGCTGGGACTTGGGAGGCAGAGAATAGATGGGGGCGGGGCCAGACAGAGGTGATATTTACCGGTTCTCCAAACTATTCAAAATTTCCGCTACCGGTTCGCTAGAGCTGGTCAGAACCTGCTGAATACCACCTCAATGTACCAAACTATATTTATTGAATGATTTGTATAGTCAGAGGCCTTCCAATATCTGATAACTCTGAACAGTTTACAATTTAAAAAGTAAAAATAATTAGGGTAGATGGGGTAGGGTAGGATAGGGTATGGTAAAGGGGAGGGGAGAAGAAAGGAGTTTGTAATGCTAGGAAAGGTGGAAGGAAAGAAAAGAAGAGGGCAACTTGTAGCAAGGTAGATGGATTCAGTTTCAGTGGCAATAGGTACATCAGTGAAAAACCTGAAGGACGAAGTCAGGGACAAATCACCCTGTATAAAATCCATCTATGCAATTGCTAAGAGTCAATACTGAACTGATGATGCACCATCAAGAAAGGAATTTCTTTGTTTATGAGATTTATAATAATGGGAACTAAATAAAATAGCCAAGTCTCGGGGCAGCCTTTTATGGCAAGAAAGGAATACTCAAAGCTAGTGATTAAAAGCTCAAAAAAATAGCTATATCTAGAACTGTTTTATCCAAGATTATATTCATTTGAGGGTGTGCTTGCTAGTGGGTTTCATCCATGATGGAAATCAATTTTTTTTACTACTGGTTCTGTGGGTGTGGCTTGGTGGGCATGGCAGGGGAAGAATACTGCAAAATCCCCATTCCCTCCCCACTCTTGGGGGAAGGATATTGCAAAATCTCCATTCCCACCCCACTCTGGGGCCAGCCAGAAGTGATATTTGCTGGTTCTCCGAACTACTCAAAATTTCCACTACCGGTTCTCCAGAACCTGCTGAATTTCATCCCTGGTTTTTCCTGCCTGGTTTTGACTTAAAGGTGATAACAGTAGCAGGGACAGAGAGTGGAATCCAGTGGAATCATCATTCCAATTTCTTTAGTGTCCCAGAAATACACTTTGCCAGATGCATTGTAGGAAATTTACAGTAGCTGGTGGTGCTAATTCCAATGGTTGAAAACCTATAAAAGGGAAAGAAATTATTGGAATGAGGAACATGCTTATTTTTATAAATGTTGTTATGCTATAAAAAAAGTAAGAAGTCAATTACTATTAGATTTAAAAATCTGTGGGAATAGTTTCTCCGCTAAATTAAAAATTACAGTTTATGCAAGCCAAGTTGGATGACTTGATTCTAAGAAATTGAATTCAACATCTGGAAAATCTCATATTACATCTGTGTTTGAATATATTTTTTTTGGTGGTTGTTGTTGCTTTCTCCATCAGTTCCAATCATTCTTTTACCTTTATCCTGTTTTCTTAACAGAAAAAAAAAACATTTTGTTGCTGAGATACACTCATCTAATGCAACTAAATATAGCAGAATCATTTCATTTCCTGGGATTCTGTTACTTACTCTCCTTGCTGATATTTAAATCCATTCAGGGAGATATGCCGCTTCCTTCCTTCCCTTTCCAGAAATAGAAGAGCATATTTCAAGATCTCACAATGCAAAATGAAATAAATTAAATTAATGTATACTGATTGACCGTTAGATAATAAGAGCAAATATTCTTACACCTTGATAAATAACAGTCATTTGGCCATGTAGTTTTCAGATTGTGTTCTGCCCCAGCTACGGACCCCAAAGAACGCAGCACACACAAAGTCTGTACAAACCTTAGTTTACTAAATTAAATCAGTTTTTTTTCCAAACAAAGGCTGTTAATTAACTTTCTTAACAGCCTACATGAATCCAAAGAATAAATAATCTTAATCTTACTATGGTTGGCAGAAAGCCCATTTGCAGAGAACTAAGATCAAGGCACGAACGAGAGTGAACGAAGTTGTTCCCTGCAAATTGCTTCAGTCGGCATTCCTCCTTAAATAGGCTAAGGGAGTGGCCAATTAGTCCCAAGCCTTACTCTCGAGGAGACCTCCTCCTAAGGAGCCACTCCTGCCTTTTGGCAGTTCTGCGCATCCGTGCATCAAGAAGAGGCTCCTCCTCTTCGTCCTCTTCACTTAAGGGAGCTTCTGGTTCTGAAGGCTCTGACTGAATCCCCACCTCTGGCACCACATCTTCGTGTGGGGACTCCTGGGAGGGGAGGGGCGGGACCAGTCAGGAGTGGGATTTGGGGGTTCTCTGAACTGCACAGAATCTTAGGTAGAGGTTCTCCCGAACCCCTGAGAACCTCCAGCAGCCCACCCCTGGATTGAGAGAGTTAAAACTCACAGATTATGGAACTGTTCTATTTATGAATGGTTTTAACACTTGAAATGTCTACTTGATAAAATTATTTTTGCGAGAATATACAATGTAGTTGTCTCAAACTACAAAATCATGTATCTCATACATGGTTTTATGGGACTGGATTAGGGGACTAAAACATATGAAGAACGGTTGCAAGAACTGGGTATGTCTAGTTTGATGAAAAGAAGGACTAGGGGAGACATGATAGCAATGTTCCGATATCTCAGGGACTGCCACAAAGAAGAGGGAGTCAAGCTATTCTCCAAAGCACCTGAGGGTAGGACAAGAAGCAATGGGTGGAAACTAGTCAAGGAGAGAAGCAACCTAGAACTAAGGAGAAATTTCATGACAGTTAGAACAATTAATCAGTGGAACAACTTGCCTCCAGAAGTTGTGAATACTCAAACACTGGAAATTTTAAAGATGTTGGACAACCATTTGTCTGAAATGTTATAAGGTCTCCTA